AAGCTTTTGTTTTCAGTGTGTCATTTTTTTCTGACAGTTATATATTTATACATTTATTTCCAATAATGATAGGTTTGGTCCTCCATACAAACCAGGTGGTCATAATGATATAGCTGACTGGTGCAAATAATTATATAAAAAGCTTTTGTTTTCAGTGTGTCATTTTTTTCTGAAATTTTGAATGTTCCATGTTTCAGCTCTACAGGGCATACACTGCATTCCCAGACTTCTTCCGTAGTCAGACAGCAACATGGTGGAAACAAGAAATCAAAGATTTCTATGAAAAAACAACAAAGTTTGATGGCCTTTGGATTGTAAGTTTGCTGAAGGAGAAAAAAAAAGGCCAGTACTGGAGCCCAATACACACTGTCCACTCAGTATGTTTGCAATAACCTGCCCTCCCTCTGTCTTCATCAAAAGGACATGAATGAACCTGCCAGTTTTGTCCATGGCACAGTTGGAGAAAAGTGTCTCGGAAATCCCCTTCTAGAGAATCCACCATATATGCCACGTAAGAAACTTAAACTGTGTTGTCATTGTTGTGTTCTAAACCCATAACAGATAATGAGAAACATTTCTAAATACTCAAATTGACTTTCTATGTGTATATTTTATATTCTAAAGCTCTGGAGTCGAAACATCTTGGCTTAAACCACAAGACTCTTTGCATGAACAGTGAACAGGTTCTCAGCACTGGAAAGAAAGTCAGGCACTATGATGTCCACAACCTCTATGGATGGTCTCATGCCAAACCTTCTTATGAGTGAGTACATACTATTAGGTTTTCTTTCCTGTACTCAGGCAGATGTTGGTTTAAAGATCACATTGTGCAATAAGAGATAGACAGACATATGTTGTGTGGGATTAAATAGAACACAACAAATCAGACCATGTGATCTGGGTGCATTGGGTTGTCCTAACAAATGAGTCTATTATTAGAAGTAAAGAAAAGAATAAAAAAACAACATATCTAACTGCAGAGTAATTAAAAAGAACATCCAGCCTCCAGAGATAGATAGCATGTACCTTCCTCCCAGAAATTTGGTCATCAAATCTTTATAATAATGATTGCCTATGTGAAAGTGCATAGGTCCCTGTAGCAGGATTCTTGTCTCACCACAGGGAAGTGGGAGTGCAGAGATGGCTACCAAAAAGCCTAAGGATGCTCAAAGTTTAAGCTCAGTGTAGGAGAACACATTTAATCCATAAATAAGAACAACAATGTTTACTCTGTGTTGTGTTTAGATTACAGATTGCTCTAGTTGATTTATCCTTAGCACAGATTTATGCATTGGAATCTAGGTTCATGGCACAGTTTGACKCTCTGAAACACACACAATAATTAAAACACAGTARGTGTTTTTAATACAAGAGGGGGTATTTATAAACTATTTACAAACCAAGGAATGAATTATGAAAATGATGGTTCCAGTAGTTTATTGGGATAAGAGTAAGTGATGAAATATTGCAAGTTCTAAAATATAGGTTTATATTTTAGATTAATGTGGATGAAGAGGAATGAAAACCTAAAGCTGACTAACTCAAAGTAAATCAGGATTAAAGGTTTGCTCAAAGTGATAAAGCAAAATAAAAGTACTGTTGAGTAACAGGTTTATCTGTTACTAAACCCCAAACAAATGTTAAATATCAGATTAGATGTCTCTGACAGGCTGGGTTTTATAATTATTGGCCTGTGGTCTGTTTGGGGGAGAGAGAAAAGTTTTCATGTGATCCTCTGATAGTTGGAAAATTTATCCATTTTCAACGATGTCAAAACATTTATCCACATAGTCCGTGCTCCTACACCAGTCACTTTAACTTAAGAATTGTTTAATATGATAATTTTGAATAATTCACAATAAGATTCTAGTGAGTAATTGTTTCACATTTTTACAAGAAAGGATTTATGTAAAAGGAGAAGGGAGATTTGATGTATATGTTTGGTATTTTGTGTGAGGTAAATATATGTTTCTTTCCACACAGTGCCCTGCTGGAAGTGACAGGTAAAAGAGGAATAGTGGTGACCAGGTCAACATATCCCTCCAGTGGAAAATGGACTGGTCATTGGCTGGGGGACAACAATTCAAGCTGGGATCAGCTGTACAAATCTATTATAGGTAGGTATAGGTATTTATTATACTGGTATTCTCAATAACTCTTTACAGTCTGTTGTTTGTTATTTGACAAATTAGATAATTAAAGCCTCCTACTTTTTATTTTTATTTTTATTTTTTTTGCAGGCATGCTGGAGTTCAGTCTGTTTGGCATCTCCTACGTAAGTATCAGCATCTGATTTCGCTTTGACAAGACATAATCTTATTGATGTGACCTTGTCCTGTCTAAATGGATTACACTAGCTTACGCGGTCCAATTTTGTTTGCGAGGCCTACTGATCAAAGAACATCTTGAAATAATATTTGAAGGGAGGCAATACAACTGACTGCTTGTGTGTTAGTCTGCCATGACCTCTAAATTGCATTAATAATTGAGCAGTCTTAGATGTAGCATACTTTATCTTAAGCTTGTTTGCGCCTTTGTTCTGTATTTATACTTGTCATTTTTTTTCTTCCTGGTAGGAAGTCCTTCTGTTGCTTCTTATCTTCTCCTTGTGTCAAGCAATAATTAGAATCTGACACCCTATTGATCCTTATACGGGAGGACTCATTTGCATTGCCGCCAGTGTAGRCACAGGGTCATGAGACACATAAAGAACACAATGCTTGGAGCAAATGTTCCAGTTGTTTGAGTGTTATCATTGTAGTTCCATCTGCTCCCTAATGCTTGTCTGTCATTTTCTTTCAGACTGGAGCAGACATATGTGGGTTTTTTAACAAAGCAGAGTATGAGATGTGTCTTCGCTGGATGCAGCTGGGTGCCTTCTATCCATATTCGCGCAATCACAATGGCAAGGGTAACCCAGTAAGTAACTTTAAAAAAATCACATTTATATTGGTGTTTTTTAACACTCCTGAATATACATTTTCAAAGTGCTCACAGAAACACATGATGGCTTCTTCATCCCTCAGTGTATTGCTATCTTGCCAATAGTATGCCCTTGAAACTGTGCCATTTTTAGCTGCAGTTTTCCTCATTTTAATCAAAAGGCCCAGCTGTGTTCCYTCAGTTCGGCAGCTCAACTTTTCACTGATTCTAAACTGTTGACCTCCACGATTTGTTGTAAAAGGAGTAAAACATTGTTAAAAGGTATATATTTTAGTGAGTATGACATGGCTGGAAACCCTTGTTAAATAGTGTCTTTTTTATTTACACTCAACCCATTATAGTGGGCCATAGCAGGGGAGGCTACTACTGGTTTTAATGTAAAACTCTCAATAAAAAAAGTAAAACAAAATAAAAATAAATAAAAAACTGAATATACTGAATACATTTAAAAATAATTATTTTGAAATATTGAAGAAAAATAGTCAAGTCTATTGCTTTAAAAACTAAAGACAAGAAAAAAAAAACAATCCATTTTTATGTTTCCTTTTTGTTGGCCACCTCTTCCTTCATTTATATCTGACATACATAGGTACACACCCACACAAAGACATAAGAAAGGAGACCTGTTTGGTCGTGTGGTGTCGTTGGCATTCATTTTAGTGGTGACCTTTWACAGCGTTGGAACACATCTGAGAAATCCAATAATGCCCGTCCGGAGATCGATCCCACCAGGTGAAATTTCTCCGCACCGGAGTCTGCAATACTAGACAGGACACTGCTGTGTGTGTGTGTGTGTGTGTGTGTGTGTGTGTGTGTGTGTGTGTGTG